TAATTAGGGTTCGGAGTAGTGGAAAAAATAGGATTATTAATATATATTCACTAAAAATGAAAATGTAAGAGCAGCTTTGCAATGGTTGTAGGAAACAAGAGAATTAAAACTATAGCGCTTGAGAAATATGATATACAATGATTAAAGCAAATTTAAAAACAAAATTCCATTAATTTTGTAAAATGTTTCTAGCACGCAAAGTCTGAATTTTTATAACTTCATGATTATTACTGTGGCTTGGAAATTTTAAAGAAAACCCATTCCGATAGTTATAAATCTTTATTAAAGAGAAAATAATGAATTTGGTTTAATTTTATTTATGAATCAAAGGCGAAAGTTATAACTTCAAATTCATAAGAAGAATTTCTTAATATTCACCTATTAATCTAATTGAAATTATCTTAACTTGTAATTAGATTCTCTTAAAAGTTATTAATCTCCCCATACTCTGCTGTTATATAAATACCATTCTTTGATTAGGGAAATTAATCATATACTTAGAGAAGTCTAATTCAAAAATTCAATTGTAAAAAGTATTTTATTAAAAGATAGAAAATTCATAAATAATAGAATATAATGGCATTAGTCCCTCAATACATAAATATCAAATTTATTAGAGATGAAAGTTAGATAAGCTTCAATCACTTTTATTATGCGCATTGTATTATCTCCTTAATTTAACATTAGTTTAGATAATAAATGAAAGTTTCAAATACTAACTTAATAAAATGATCGAATTTTCCAGCCAATATAATAATAGTAACATTGCTAGCCCTTCTGTTAAATTAATCTAATAATAAGACTGTAATTATAATTTTTATATAATTTATAACGACTAGACAGCTTTATTAAGTTTAGAATTGTAAATGAAAGAAGGCGTCTAATTAAGTGTAAAAATTGGCTGTTAACTTAAGAAATTATCCAAAAATACTATCTGTTAGAATGATGACATAGTATTATATTATTTATACTTGTTAAATTATTATAAAGACTTTAAATAAAAGAGCTCTGAAATTGTTATTTAATCAACAGATAAATGATGTAGAAGTTGTAAAAAAGAAATTATTTAAAAGATACCAATAGGGTCCAAAGAATAAAATCAATTAGAAACCAAAACTTAAACATATGCAATTAAATGGATATGATATATTGAGCAAATTTGATTTATTTGAAATAGATCTCAATATTTAGCAATTAGTAGACAATCAAGTTAGTTCACTTGAACTCTGCATAAGCACTTTTGTCGTTTTAATAGCATTTTTAAATACTTCCACTATTCTATAATTTAAATATTTGGATTAGTGCGCATACTAAAGATAATATATAAATAGTTAATGACCCTGAATTGATCAAATATAATTCCTCAAATAAGTATGATATTATGAATAATTTCCCTCAAACTTCAATAACTATTAAGACGTTGTAGATTATTACATCCTACCTCAATACTATTATTTTGAGTACCATAAAAATATCAAATTATGATTGTCTCAAAAATGATTCTAAATTATTAAAATATTTAACTTAATTTCTTGATTCAAATTTATATCAATCAATAATTAAGTAATAATTCGTTTAGAGCTGTTATAAATTCTATCTTTCAAATAATTCATCCATTTAAGCTGTGATTGATAAATTTAAATAGTTAAATGTAAAATTTAATTCTTACAGAAACAAATTATTATCTTTAGAAAGATATTTGATTTCAAGTTTATCTCAATTATAATATTTATTCAGGAATGAATTTAATACTTTTGTGAAAGAATTTTAGCCCATAGCTTTTGCCACTACCATTCGATAACACAATCAAAGCTAAAATAAACACTTTCCCATAGTAATTCAATAACCTTATTTTTGAGAATCCGAAAAATAATTTATCAAACGGACCTTGGAAGATGCTAACCACTTGACGAATTATAGAAGGATGGACAGGAGTTAAATCAAAATGAATTGAATAAGTCATAAAAAAGAGAAGTTCAAATATTCAATTGTAAAATAAAGCGATTTTCTTTGGATTGCAACAATAATATTGAAAATAAAGTACTAATTCGATGAAAATTGACAATTAATTTAACTTCGTAAGGATGAAAGAAAATAAATTAATATTTTGTCTCAAACCTGATTCCACTAAATGAAAATGCTCTCAGATTTTCACTATAGAAACATGAGCCCGATTATAATCTAAAGCCACTTCATCATTCTATTGCCATAAGCACGTATTGCTCGTATGTTATTTTTCTAAAAACATTGGTATTAAGAAGAATCCTATATCTTTCCATATCTTTAATAAGTACAATTCATGTTAAACTTTATTTTTATATAAAAGTCAAGAAGGTAAATGCTTAGATTTCCTGCTAAATTGATACAATTATGATTCTTGTTCTTCTAACTTTAAAATTGCATCATTGGATGTTGACAAGTATTTCGTACAAATACTTTGGAGTTAAAGTTTATATAGGAGGAGGTATCACTGAATAGATTGAAGAGGTCTCAATATCAGTTATGTTAAAGCCTTTAACAAAGCAAATATGTTTTTTATATCCTGTAACTGTAATTACAAGGCTATGGATTCTCTATTTTCCCTTTCATTATGCTTTGTATTTTGAAATTCAGATTAAAAGTAAGGGTGCAAAGCTTTAGCCATCAGAATTATTAATAATATTATTGGATGGTTAGAGTTTGTTTGATTCTTTAGGAAAATGGCTTTTTGAGAATACAAGTTACTATTGAATGTTAAGAGCCATTTTTAAATTAAAAACATGGATTTCTGGAGGAGGTTTGTTCAGAAGAAATTCTTTTCTTTTAATTTGAATCTATTGTGCCTGAATAGAAATTGGGGAATTAACTAGAGGAAATGAATACATTTTTAGGAATTTAATTAGAGAAGAAAGAATATGAGGAGTAGAATGGTGAGTTTCATTTGTAAAGGAATTTAGAGCCAACAAGAAAAAGAAGATTAAAATCAATGTGAAAAGAGAATAATTGGAAACAAAGAGATTTATACGTTATGGGTTTATTCAGTATTTAGGATATTTATGGAGAAAAAGTAAACTTTTTGAAGTAATGACTTGTTCTCATATTCTGAACTATCATTTTGGTTTTCGAAAAAGTGAGTTGAGAAAATACAAGAGATACTTACTAATAGTTAAGAAACAGAAAAAAAATTAGATTGAAATCTCAAAGGAGTAAGGAAGATTTGAACTATAGAAGTATAATCATAGATTCACAAATGTATCATTAATATTCAACTCAACTTAAGGACAAGATTCTGAATTAAACATAATATTAATGATCATTATCATTTATTCCCTTAAATCTTTATTAGTCTCAAAAGCCCAATATTTCATTTTTCTTAGATTTTAGGAATAAAATCAAACTTTCATTAATTAGTTGGTATAAATTTTTATGGAATATAATTGCTTCTTTTAAGAGATTATATCTCATCCCAAGTACTCTATTTTCTTGAAGGGGATTTTATTCTTAGGTGCTATATATAATTTCTGCTCCAATCATGAAAATATTTTATTTAACTTATAGTTGATACTTGTATGTTGGTATCAATCCAAACTCCAAATATTAATATAAGATCCAATCAAAATGAACATTATCATAATGGAAAAAAGATTTTAATTAGGATCCTCAATTATATTTTTTTTTCTTTCTTTTAAAATTATATGAGTTTTATACATAGTCTCTTAACTATTTCGATCTAGCAACACATGATTGATGTGTCATTGAAAAATGATTGTGAATCATCACCCTGTGATTATTAATATAATTTTGTAATGAAAAAGAATTAATCACCCTAGCCAAGATTCTGGCCTTGACTCCAGCAGATCTACTTCCAAGAACTCAAACTAATACTCATCTGGTCTAGAGCGAGGGCTTGATATCTCTTCACTAATAGATTATTAAAATTCAAACTGACTGAAGTAATGATGTTTCAGTACAAATTTAGATTAGAGGGGTAACAATATTACGTTAGGAATATACTTTATTAACAACTCTTTCTAAAAGAGATTCTAAGATCATCAGCTTAATATGATTCTGGGCATGTTTTCTGCTTATGGAGTGTAATTAGTTTAAGCAATCTTGGACTCAAACAATTTGTAGTACACCCTTATTTATCCAGCATAATAAAAATTTAAGGAGTAAAGAGATATATGTGAGTAAATAAGAAACTTAGTCCAGAAAACTGGGAACAATCTTAAGCCAAAAATATTTAAGAATAAATTTTCGTTTTAAAATTATTCTAGTTTTAACTTATAACAGATGCAGTATAAATCCATCATCAAATGAAAATACAAGCAGACGTTTAGAGTTAATCAGGAGTCTTTTAATCAATGATGATTATAACATTTAATAAAATATGGTTGAAAAAGATTAAGAGAAAGAATAAAATTATGAATTAAAAAGTGCAGGTATAA